ATTTGTTAGTCAGGATTTGCCATGCATCAGCTAACAAGATCACACCTTCACGTCTGTTTAAACTGTTGGGATTCACCCATATATGTAGGGCTTCTGCAGTCAGTCTTCTTTATATGAACCGAAACCTTTCTGTAAAACCTTAGTCTTATCAAAGTCGATTTTGTGTCCCGTTTCTATTGAATGTAGTGCAATCGCTGATTTGTTTTTAGCTTCTTCAAGTCTGCAGAGCTCTTTGGAACCACCTTCAGACATTGTTTATGCTCTTTCATTCTTATATTTACCTGTCTGGAAGTTTCTCCTACATATACTGCGTTACAATCCCCACAATTGATCTGGTATACGCAATTCTGCTGGTTTTCTTGTTCTATTTTATCATTAACCTTCACCAGTAATGAGCGTCAGGTGGTAGATGAACGAAAGTACACTCTTATGTTACGGTCGTTAAGGATTCGCTTTATTTCATCGGATGTTTCTTTGCGGTAAAGAACCACCGCTGTACCAACCCAATTCTTAGCAGCAGGTTTTGATTTATCCTTATCTTCGCATTTTTTAAATATCTTTCTTTGAAGGCTTTAGGATAATTATTTGATTCAGGAGTGGATTGAACCAATTTTAGTTCCTTGCTAATATCTTCCTCTTCAGTAACCAGACGTTTGGCTCTGTTGATCAGATTCTTGGCCACAGTTACTTTGGTGGTAAATGGGTCAGCTGAATAGTAATCTAGGTATCTCTCCGAATTTGTCGGCTTTCTGAAAATGTTTATTTTAGATTTGCCGTCTACTTTTATTTTTACTAAACAGTCCAGGAACGCGAACTCATTTTCACCGGATTCAACCTCTTTAGAAAACTTGATGGTTCCTGACATATTGTTTATTAAGTGAAAAAGTTCATTTAACAAACTACGTTTGATTATGATGAAGGTATCATCTATGTATTTTAACCACATCTTTGGGGGACTAGGGCATCTCATAATTGCATTTGTTTCTAATGAGTGCATAAACAGATTGGCGACTAGTGGAGATACTGGTGATCCCATAGCAGTGCCTCCTGTTTGACGATAAGGAACCCCTCTGAACGTAAATAACGTGGATCGAAGACACTTCTAATACCTTCATAATTTCGTCGGGATTTAAAGGACAACGACCACTGAGTTCGTCGTCAGCACAAAGTAAATTATAAATAATATCTAAAGAATCATTAAGTGGTACGTTCGTGAATAATGAATAAACATCGAAACTTGCCACTATTTCTTCTTCTTCAATATTAGTCAAATTTATTTTCCTCTTAAATTCATACGAATTCTTCACTCCATGCTCCACTTTCGATACATATGGGCTAAGAATTCGACAAATGTATTTAGCGAGTTTGTATGTTGGAGAGTTAGTAAAATCCACTACTGGACGTAATGGTACTTCTGGTTTGTGTATTTTTGGTAACCCATAAAATCTACAGGGGCTGCAACTTTTTGGAGCCAGAGTAAACCAAAGTGATACACCGAGCTCTTCTTTTATTGACTATAACATTTTGCTTGTTTCAGCCTTCAGCTTATATAATGTCGCTCTTGATGTATTCACATTGAATTTTTCATAAGGTCCGTCATCGAGATGATCAATGGCCTTCTTTTCGTAATCTGCAGAGTTCATGACAACTGTGATACTGCCTTTATCTGCTCTTGTAATTGCAATTGATTTATCTTGTTGTAGGTGTCTTAATGCCAGTTGCTCGTTGTTATTTATATTCGGCGCATTCGGCTTCTGGTTCAGTAGTACGGCTGCAATTTTGTGTCTTATGACGTTTGCCTCTTCGGCTGTCACTGACTTAAACGACGGTTCAATTGCTGGAACCACTTGAAAGGCTGATAAACGCCTTTTGTTTAGATTGAAATTAAGTTCCTTTTTAGGGAGGGATAGTTCATAATCTGATGAATTTCTGTCAGAGAGATTGACCACCACTTTGTTCGCATCCAGAAACTTATGACTAGACGGATTTTCAAATTGATGGCTTTTAGGATTAATGGTTAGTTGAAGCAACCTATCGAACTTTTTGATTTGTCTTCTTTTTAGAGATTGAAGATAAAATTCTTCTTTAAACATAAATATGTTATCAATGAAAGTCTTCAAATCTGACGTGACCAAGACACATATAATTTCACCTAAATTGGACATTCGCATACGAAATAATTCCATATTCTTGGTTGCTCTGTGAACACGTTCTCACAGAAACGTTCTAGTGGCGGAAAGAGCTGCTTCAATTGATCTGCTAGAATACAACAATTTCTTGTTCTTTTCAAGTCCCGCTGCTTTACGGACTGTTAACCCCACCTTCCTTTACCACTGTAATTCAATTTTCAGCGACTAACTTTCTGCACATGTGTTTTAAGCTGCTCTAAGTTATGCAAACATTTTTGTGCCTCTATGAAAATAGATTTAAATAACTTCCTATTAGGATATAAAAGGCTATATGGTTCCCAGAGCACCAATCACTATCAACGGAATAAATTTGAAAGAGGTCACTTCCTCTAAATTTACTAGAAAGCACCGTTTCAAATACAGGTAGAGAGAACGGATAAGGATGTCAAAAACAGATTCGCAGTGGCAAAGCAGACACTCATCACTTTCAAATCACCTTGGAAGCCCGTACTAAGCATAAAGAACAAAATTCGAATTTTCAACACCAATGTTAAGTCAGCTCTTATTTATGGGTTTGGTACTTGGCGAGGGCGTCACGAAGAACATTTCCACCAGGAACTGGGAGGATACAATTATGAACCCCATCTTTTGGGAAGGGAACAGGGAATCGGTATCTACCTACCAGCATCTAATCTCTTCTCTCCCTCTAGGATGCATTTGTGGGGTCACCATAATAAGTCGCTAAAACCGTGGACGAGTATAATGTATGGAATTTAGATTCCCTTAAAGACTAGTCAGTGACTGGAACTCCTTACCCGATCAAGTAGTACCAGCTACATCGGTGAACCCTTTCAAAGAGAAATTAGATCTTTTCAGGGGTATACACTGCCACAACGGCCTCACATTCTTATCATCCGAATCTAAACCATGAAGAGAAACAATTAAGTTAGTTTCATTCAGGAAGAGCGAATATTGCGCCTATTTAATAAAAATATCTCTAAAATATTACTTAGTCTCAGTTGTTCATTTATCGCTGATAGGTACTGAAACAAGGTGGTCTTGATGTAGGGAAGTTTCAGAGGGGAATTGAGGAATCTCGAGGTTGATTATCAGGGAAACCACAGAATCTTCAAGGAGATGAAGACGACTATGAGGACTCCAGAAAACGCAGTTTTGGTTTTATTACCCAAAATCTCACCATTTCTATTGCATTATCCTATCACAAAACTACCCTACAGTTTGTCTATTTAACCCTACTTTTTACTTATTTATATACAACTTACCCAGCTAGCACTTTCTTCAGGCGCATTGCAGACTTTTTACGGCAGACTTAAGGCACACTGCAGAACCCTATAGGCGATGGGTCATTCAATGTGTCGAATTCCGTCGTAGGCTAACTGCTCATTTAGACCACTACATTAATCCTTGTCTGAATCGATACACATCACCAACAGTTAAGTCCTTACCGTGAAGCACAAGCCAGTTTCACTGTGGTTGATGATTTGATGACACTGAACGACAACATGAGTATTTCCACAACAGGAAACTCACCGAAGTATTTTCTCTGAATTTGTATCGACATCAAGTATCTTCTTATATGAGTCATATATTACATTTTTTCTGGTGTATGAAACACAGTTGTAGAATTCTAAATAAAGTCATACTTTCGCACAAATGGAGGTGATACATGGTGTTCACACCATAATGGCCACAGCGTGAAATCTGTATAATTAGAAGCTTGACTGTTACTCTTACCAAGATCGAATACAACGAGTTTGGGAAGACGCTTAAGACCTGACAGGGACACTGATGTTGACATTTACTGTAACACACACGGACCACAGCCACAACTGACGAAGGAAGAAGACAAAGAAGGCGAAGAAGAGGCGTTTATTAACCGGGGTACAAGCTTATTATCATCATTTATAACAAGTCTAGATAAACGGTCTTCCTCCTGTTCCAGTAAAGCCACGTCAGCGTTTCTTTCTGAAAAAGAGACGTATTTAGTGGCATTATGGTGGTTTCTATTCCATTACATCGCCTCCTCCCTTCTGGGGGCACCGTCCTCAGTACCTGGTGGTGGTATGGGGTATGCACTGCCTCCATCGTTTCGTACATCGACGTAGCTTGTAGCGGGCGGCGGCTGCGAGGGTGATGTGGTTTCAGCTGGTTATAATGCGCTGAGATAAGATTTTCTTGAGGGCGTTGCAGATTTCGCAGGACATACGTTGTGGGGGGTCGGTGCTGTACGATCTCGTAGTGTCCTTGCCACGGGGCGTAGAATTTTGGGACACGAACCGGCAGGGACGGATGGTCGATAGAGCCAGACATAGTCACCAGGCGAATAAGTGGGGCCGCGGGCAAATCGGTCATAAATACTCTTCTGGTGTTCTGATGAAGACTGCAGATGACGATTCGCCAGGTTGTAGACTATCTCTAAGTGGTGGCGACGATGTCGGACATAAGGGATGCAGTCTATTTTCTCATATAGTAGCAGCGGTGTTTGGATCTCAACTGGGAGGCGGAGGTCATGCCCGAACAATAGCAAAGCTGGGGAAAAACCCGTGGAAGAGCGATACGCTAGCAAACATTGAGGCAGGACATCATCCCAGGTGTTCTCTGGTGCGTTGTACAAGAAGGCACGCAGATGGATTTGAATTATGACTGGTGATTCACGAGACTTTCTGAGATTGTACGCTGATGCGATGCATAATGCACATGCTTTGGCTGGAGTTATGGACTTTATTGACTTGGGTCTTGCATTCAACATGGCATGCGAGCTGCAACAACATATCGTTAGTTTGATATCCAGACGTCTTAAAAATTTGGAAGCCGTTATAGAAATGAAAAAGGGAAGGCACAAATACAAGTATGGACACAGAAATTGATGCACAAAAAAGTCATGACGATCAAAATCAAAACAGTGATGTTATGGGCAGTGAAAATATTGAAAATGGAGAGGCAACAAATGACAGTCATCATTTGTGTGGACCATCAAACCAGGTAGTGAATGATGCAGTACCCTCAGTACTTTTACTTTGCAGGAAGCATACAAACCATTAAGTGATAAACACAAGTTAATTGCTATAGACGACCTTTGTCCATGTATGCTTGATAGTGGTGTTACTACTGGTTTCGTCAGTGACACAACAGATTGTAGTGCCTGTAAACTGAGAAATCAGGTGCAATATGAAACGGACGTCACCATGGTTGGCGCAGCATGCCCAAAATTCCCTCGTCTTTGTTCAGCGCAATATAGTGCTTTTGACGGTAAATGAAAATTGTGCCCCCGTCAAAAACACAATATTGCACTGAACAAAGACGAGGGAATTTTGGGCATGCTGCGCCAACCATGGTGACGTCCGTTTCATATTGCACCTGATTTCTCAGTTTACAGGCACTACAATCTGTTGTGTCACTGACGAAACCAGTAGTAACACCACTATCAAGCATACATGGACAAAGGTCGTCTATAGCAATTAACTTGTGTTTATCACTTAATGGTTTGTATGCTTCCTGCAAAGTAAAAGTACTGAGGGTACTGCATCATTCACTACCTGGTTTGATGGTCCACACAAATGATGACTGTCATTTGTTGCCTCTCCATTTTCAATATTTTCACTGCCCATAACATCACTGTTTTGATTTTGATCGTCATGACTTTTTTGTGCATCAATTTCTGTGTCCATACTTGTATTTGTGCCTTCCCTTTTTCATTTCTATAACGGCTTCCAAATTTCTAAGACGTCCGGATATTAAACTAACAATATGTTGTTGCAGCTCGCATGCCATGTTTAATGCAAGACCCAAGTCAATAAAGTCCATAACTCCAGCCAAAGCATGTGCATTATGCATCGCATCAGCGTACAATCTCAGAAAGTCTCGTGAATCACCAGTCATAATTCAAATCCATCTGCGTGCCTTCTTGTACAACGCACCAGAGAACACCTGGGATGATGTCCTGCCTCAATGTTTGCTAGCGTATCGCTCTTCCACGGGTTTTTCCCCAGCTTTGCTATTGTTCGGGCATGACCTCCGCCTCCCAGTTGAGATCCAAACACCGCTGCTACTATATGAGAAGATAGACTGCATCCCTTATGTCCGACATCGTCGCCACCACTTAGAGATAGTCTACAACCTGGCGAATCGTCATCTGCAGTCTTCATCAGAACACCAGAAGAGTATTTATGACCGATTTGCCCGCGGCCCCACTTATTCGCCTGGTGACTATGTCTGGCTCTATCGACCATCCGTCCCTGCCGGTTCGTGTCCCAAAATTCTACGCCCCGTGGCAAGGACACTACGAGATCGTACAGCACCGACCCCCCACAACGTATGTCCTGCGAAATCTGCAACGCCCTCAAGAAAATCTTATCTCAGCGCATTATAACCAGCTGAAACCACATCACCCTCGCAGCCGCCGCCCGCTACAAGCTACGTCGATGTACGAAACGATGGAGGCAGTGCATACCCCATACCACCACCAGGTACTGAGGACGGTGCCCCCAGAAGGGAGGAGGCGATGTAATGGAATAGAAACCACCATAATGCCACTAAATACGTCTCTTTTTCAGAAAGAAACGCTGACGTGGCTTTACTGGAACAGGAGGAAGACCGTTTATCTAGACTTGTTATAAATGATGATAATAAGCTTGTACCCCGGTTAATAAACGCCTCTTCTTCGCCTTCTTTGTCTTCTTCCTTCGTCAGTTGTGGCTGTGGTCCGTGTGTGTTACAGTAAATGTCAACATCAGTGTCCCTGTCAGGTCTTAAGCGTCTTCCCAAACTCGTTGTATTCGATCTTGGTAAGAGTAACAGTCAAGCTTCTAATTATACAGATTTCACGCTGTGGCCATTATGGTGTGAACACCATGTATCACCTCCATTTGTGCGAAAGTATGACTTTATTTAGAATTCTACAACTGTGTTTCATACACCAGAAAAAATGTAATATATGACTCATATAAGAAGATACTTGATGTCGATACAAATTCAGAGAAAATACTTCGGTGAGTTTCCTGTTGTGGAAATACTCATGTTGTCGTTCAGTGTCATCAAATCATCAACCACAGTGAAACTGGCTTGTGCTTCACGGTAAGGACTTAACTGTTGGTGATGTGTATCGATTCAGACAAGGATTAATGTAGTGGTCTAAATGAGCAGTTAGCCTACGACGGAATTCGACACATTGAATGACCCATCGCCTATAGGGTTCTGCAGTGTGCCTTAAGTCTGCCGTAAAAAGTCTGCAATGCGCCTGAAGAAAGTGCTAGCTGGGTAAGTTGTATATAAATAAGTAAAAAGTAGGGTTAAATAGACAAACTGTAGGGTAGTTTTGTGATAGGATAATGCAATAGAAATGGTGAGATTTTGGGTAATAAAACCAAAACTGCGTTTTCTGGAGTCCTCATAGTCGTCTTCATCTCCTTGAAGATTCTGTGGTTTCCCTGATAATCAACCTCGAGATTCCTCAATTCCCCTCTGAAACTTCCCTACATCAAGACCACCTTGTTTCAATACCTATCAGCGATAAATGAACAACTGAGACTAAGTAATATTTTAGAGATATTTTTATTAAATAGGCGCAATATTCGCTCTTCCTGAATGAAACTAACTTAATTGTTTCTCTTCATGGTTTAGATTCGGATGATAAGAATGTGAGGCCGTTGTGGCAGTGTATACCCCTGAAAAGATCTAATTTCTCTTTGAAAGGGTTCACCGATGTAGCTGGTACTACTTGATCGGGTAAGGAGTTCCAGTCACTGACTAGTCTTTAAGGGAATCTAAATTCCATACATTATACTCGTCCACGGTTTTAGCGACTTATTATGGTGACCCCACAAATGCATCCTAGAGGGAGAGAAGAGATTAGATGCTGGTAGGTAGATACCGATTCCCTGTTCCCTTCCCAAAAGATGGGGTTCATAATTGTATCCTCCCAGTTCCTGGTGGAAATGTTCTTCGTGACGCCCTCGCCAAGTACCAAACCCATAAATAAGAGCTGACTTAACATTGGTGTTGAAAATTCGAATTTTGTTCTTTATGCTTAGTACAGGCTTCCAAGGTGATTTGAAAGTGATGAGTGTCTGCTTTGCCACTGCGAATCTGTTTTTGACATCCTTATCCGTTCTCTCTACCTGTATTTGAAACGGTGCTTTCTAGTAAATTTAGAGGAAGTGACCTCTTTCAAATTTATTCCGTTGATAGTGATTGGTGCTCTGGGAACCATATAGCCTTTTATATCCTAATAGGAAGTTATTTAAATCTATTTTCATAGAGGCACAAAAATGTTTGCATAACTTAGAGCAGCTTAAAACACATGTGCAGAAAGTTAGTCGCTGAAAATTGAATTACAGTGGTAAAGGAAGGTTTGGGTTAACTGTCCGAAAAGCAGCGGGACTTGAAAAGAACAAGAAAATGTTGTATTCTCGGACTTTCGGTATATATTACGCTATTGGATCTAACTCTGTCCGGAATTTCCGATTGCGATGTCGAAATAAGTAAACACATATGTTTTATTTACGGAAAACTGTCTGCATGATTTGTGGGATATATTAGAACAAAGATAAGAGAAACATTATGGAAACGATGATGAAGGAATGAATATTTTACTGTCATCTTTGACTCCTACTCGTTTTCGAACTACATTAGTATTCATATAGCATAATTATACGCAAATTTAAATATCATTTCCCATTAGTTTTCTAGAAATCTTAGAGAAGAGAATAAGGCGTCTCTTGTGGATAAACAGTGCGGAAATCTCTTCACTAAGAGGATTTCTGGGGAGTAGAGAGGTGTTTTATTCCCTCTAAATTTCCCCATTTCGTTGTGGATTAATTCGCCTCATAATTATCAAAAAGTCACCCTGTTGTATACCGTTTTTCGCGAGATATCTTTATTGTATTTCGATGGAACCGGCCAAAATGATTTCAAAGAGAACAAGCGTATTAGCTTCTTCTGGAAAATACTGTTTACAGAAGCGTAAAAGTGTTGAACATGAACATCTTTGTTCAAAATATTGTATGAATAACAGCCAGCTGTGTATTGGAGTTCATTTAAATGATTGTAGTTTAAGTGTCGGTAGCTAGTGGATTTGCGGTTACCGTTGGGAAATATCCTCTATGGCATAGTTTGAGGCACTCATCCGGATGACAGCTTTCCCCTAAATTGATGAACAGCATTCATTATCAGTGATAAACCCCCTTATCTGTCGAGCCTATAACTTGACGCCTAAAGGTCATTCGTCCGTTTGTTCGCTTAAATCACTCTATTCTTTAACCTCGTCTCAATTCACAATAAGCATAATTAGTAATAATAGTAATTCGGAAATTCATCATTGCTATTATTATTCCCTTGGGTTCCAAGTGGAACATAGAGCTTCAGTACCACATCTCCGCTTACGTGTTCAGTCCTTTATATCCGGCTCCACGATTCTACGCTAGCCTTCATTTACCCCTCACATGATCTCGTCCATGTAACCCTCGCAAATACGCCTCACCCGTCACTTCCCACTTGGTTTCCATTTGCGAGGCTACCTGGAGCATGATGTCACTCAATGGTCTCTTCAACATTTGTTCACTCCATTTCCATTCCTTTCGGCATATATGTTGAGCGATCAGTTATTGGTTAGTTCGTTTCCGGAGTTCTTTTTCGTTGGTCATCTGAAGGAGGTAGTCTTGATGGTATTAGATGGTTGGAGGCAATCGGCAGAAAGTCTTGCCTGACCTAGGTTTCGTGCTAGTTGGCACTCACCAGTCAGCAAGGCGTATCTGCAACCTTGAAGGAACTCATGAGATTTGAACGTGAGCCACCTAGTGCTGGTAAGGTGAGGTCTCTAACTGCAGCACTGGGTGGCTCAGGTTCGAATCTCAGAAGGGACATGAGATCCTTCAAGGTTGCAGATACGCTTTGCTGACTGATGAGTGCAAACAAGCAGGACACCTAGGTCAGGCAAGGCTTCCTGCCGATTGCCTCCAACCATCTAAGGTATTATTATTATTATTCTACTAACATTCTCCTCGACTACACTTGGTTCTATTGACTCACATTGTTTTCCAAATGTCTATGAATGGTATTTTATTATGTGATTGTGAAGTCTGATGAAAATTTACCGATTATACGTATTAGTTTGTTTTAATCGTGTTCTGAAAGTAAATGCTGTATATTGTTAGGTACTCATTAAATTTTTGAAGAAGTATTACAGGACTATTTCAATTTTTAGAAGATTTTCTAGCTATATTTTGCAAATACCTGTCACGGGTCTTCCATGAAATCTAACCATTGGCAATTAATGCGAATCCCCACAGAACACAATTTTGATATCAGTTCCCAGCTGATTAGTGACTACTAGCTGTGAATGTCCTGAAAGTTGTAGTAAGAAGTTGTGATCAGTGTGGTTCACCGTGTTAGGGTGAAGTGTGTTGGATGGACATCGATGACACTGATTGCTAGTCGTGCTCATACCGCGAATTGACAGAGGCTAGACTTCACGATCCAGGTCAAGTGTCTGTCTGGTTAAATTAGTCGATCTATTGACCTGAGGACTGCGAAATCGACCCGTAGCTCTAGATGGAGTCGTCTCCAGAGTAGGATGAAACGGCTAGCTGTCCAGTGCTTGTGTACTGTTTTCAATGATTCTCTAAGTGATATTCATATCTGATGAGAAATTCGTGCACAGAAATTGATTAATTGTCAAGTAGCTTTGTAGAAACCATAAAGTCAACTAGGTAGCTAGCTGGCTGGCTAGTTAACCAATCTGTTCAGTTAGTTTAAGAATTGTAATATTTAGCAATGTGATGAAAAGTTAAATGCTGCATGCCCATGTCTCTCTTCTCTCTCTATCTCTGTCCCTGTCTCTCCTGTATTCATCTACCAGTACTGCTGCAATCAGAGTGGCTGAACAACTCCTACAAATTCTGGGCTGGTCAGATCTATTTGATTATAAGGCAATATATCCTGGTTGCAAAATTACCCATTTTAAAAGGTATGTTTCGCATAATCACTATAATTATCGTTATTCTTATTCCCCTCAGTTTAAAATATATCTGACACTCATCATTGTCGAGCTGGGTAGTTATTTATTTTCTTCCATTCCTTTGTAGATTTCATAAATTGTCTGGTATAGAGTATGCAGATATGGTGTTTCTTGATGATGAAGAACGTAATATCAACGATATCAGTCGATTAGGTGTACAATGTCATCTAGTTGAACGTGGGATCACGTGGAATCTCTTTGAACAGGCTTTAAAAGAGTTTGAACGTAAAGGCAAACATGCACACACCCATCCACTAAATGACTGTTGAACTATCGTTAATTTCCTATAATAAGATGAATGATCAGTGCGATCATCTATGTACATCTGATCAAGTTCAATTTGTTGTGTTGTGTCAGGCGATGAGGTACTTTCTTCTCATTGTAGGCCTTTGTATATTTTGTAATATTGAATAAAAGATTTTGTAAATCAGGCTGTCTTTGCCTTCTTCCTATGCGAAAATGTACAGGAGAGCAAACAAACTAGTTGGCTTGTTGTTTAAGGATATTATTGTTATTCGTCTCTACCTGGAGCATAGGCCCCTGTCGTAGTGCATCCGCATTGTATTCTATCCTTTGCGATGTCTTGTTTTAGCTGGCTCCACGACTACACCTACACACAACGATTCATTTCCTTGTTTACCTTTGATCTGATCTTCTGCTTCATCCTTGTACACCTACCTACACCCAACTCGTCGTTTTCCATGCGAGTTTCATTTTGACGGCCTGGTGTGTGGTGGTGTCAGTGAACAGTCTTCTTAGAGTATGTGTCGAATAGATCTACATCTTTCTCGGGTGATAGGTTATCGGTTGTATCGTTCCCGGAGTTGATTGTTGTGAACCCTGTCTTGGCAATTTTACTTCATCAGTAGAGAGCTTAGGAGACAGATATTGATGAAAGTCTATAGTAACCTGTGCTGATGTGTTTCAGATGGCTCACGTATCAAGTCTCTGAGTCATACAGAAACAATGATTGACTTGACATCAGTTTTGAAAAGTCGGAGTTCGATAGATTCCATCAGGTTTCAGAGTAATAACCGTCGGTATTGTGTTTCAAGATCCAAATTCGAAGTGTTAAAGTTTGAAAAGATTTGGGTATCGAATATATGCTATAGTCATTAGTACAGAAGTTTCTTTATTTGCCACAGAATGAGAAACAAAATGATTCTGTCATTGTTTTTACTGACGGTTTGCTTTTTAGTGCTGAGCAGTGAATAGTAATAATAAACCAGAATTTACAAAATTTCAGTTCATATATCGCAAGTGAATCATCGTCAATCAACATGGGATAATTTTTACGTTGTCAGGTTGGCCAATTGGTAGGGATAACAAAACCATCATGTGTAGATTGTTCTGTTTGATAAGCGTATAAAATTATAAAAGCAGCGTGTGTTTACATAATGAAACTGCCTATCACATTCCTGTAGACTTTGTCATTCCATGTGGGTAGGTGGGTGGTTGTTTCAGCCAGTTCAAATTCTGTTTTAGTGTTTTACTTCCATTCAGACAATTTCGACTCCATTTAGTTATATGAAGTGCTCCTGATTTAACGAGACATTCTTTATGATTCCTGAAATTTTTCTGGATTATTTCAGTATTGTCAAAATCAATTTTGTGACCTGATTTCATGCAGCGTGTAGACGACCCATGTGTGGTGATTTTACTTCAAGCCTTCCTAGTTGACTAACTGGATTTCTTGGTGGTCGAACAGAGGAGGCGGTTCTGTGGTGTTCATTTCTTCTGATCTCGATTTCTCTCTGGCGTTGTTGATCCGATGTATGTCGTGCATCACACGTGCCAAGCATTTTATTTTGTAGACATAATTGATAGGATCCCACATATTTTGGTATTGACTGTTAATCTTGCATATATGGTATGTTATCATTCTCACACATTTTGGTATTTACTGTTAATCTTGCATATATGGTATATTATCATTCCCACACATTTTGTTATTGACTGTCAATCTCGCACATATGGTATATTATCATCTCTCACGCACTTTGTTATTGGCTATTAAGATCAATTATTTCAAATGCTGTTAGCTGTCCATATTGTTGTAAAATGTATAAATACCATGGCTTTCTTTGTCGTTGTTGCACTTCAATACACAGTCACAGTCCAGCCTTTGTCTTATGATATCTGCGTGCTTTACTAAATCGGAAGGTACGACAAGCAGATAGGCAGATTAGTTCAGGCGCAGACAGAGCAAGGTGAAAACGTCTTCCTTGAATTCCCTACAGTTATAACAATAATTAGATTTAGAATTCAATTGAACTGTCGTCAAGATTTGACAGAATAGTTCTAAAATATTAGGGCGCCGAGTGAGAAGTAGACATTTGTAAAAAAATTAAATTTGTAAAATCTCAGCGATATTGAAATGAGTAATTCCAACGTTTCGTTGGGCTATCTGGTCCGAACTTCTTCAGGGAAATTAATCGAAATTAACACAACAGAGGTTATATATACAAGGAACATCTCTTGTTTCTAAAAACTTTGTCCAATCATGAGTCATGAAACAGGTATCAACAAGTATTATAAACAAAGTTGTATGAGTTGTGATCAAAATTTGACCTCAGACTTACAAATATTGGTCTACTTTTGTTATACACTTTAAACACAGTGTGTATGTGTGTGTGTGTGTGCGGGTAAACAGTTGTAAAACAATGTCTTAACGTCTCCATAAGAAGATATAGACAGTCGGGAATTTCGACCAAGTATTATTAATTAGTGATACATATCCATTTTTATTTATTAATCGGGATTTCCTATGCGTCATCTAACATCACACCTTCATGTCTGTTCAAACTGCAAGTATCTAGAATTTTATGATTAGACGTATTTTCAAAGTTATGGTGTTTAGGATTGGAGTTTAGTTGAAGCACCCTGTCAAACTTATTACTTTGTCTTCTTTCTGAAAATTGAGATGGTTTATTCGGCCTACTGGAGTTGTCAGGTGACTCGACAGCTACGGAATTAGGATATGCGCTTTGTTACAGACAACGGGGAGTGAAAATACGATGATTGTGCCAATTGCATAGTTTCTTTGTTAATTTAATTCGACTGCAAAATAATTGAAATGAACTGTCTTCAAAAATTTGGCCGAATAGTTGTAAGATATTTCAATATCGCTGAGATTTTACAAATAAAACTTTCAAGAAATGTCTAGATTTTGGATCCTTTGGAATTTTGCGTTTTACATGGACTAGGTTGTTTTGGAGTGAGTGTTTCTCATGTTTTCAAGAAGACTCTGATGTCGAGCGTAAGGATTACGCTTTTGATATTGTCTGATGTCCGTGATCTCTATGGGGAATGACAACTGTTAAGACTCATGCCTTCGAAATTCGTTTTCGGCCACATATAATGTCGATATTAACATCAAAGAGCGTGCTCGTTTAAGACTAATCGAAACAACTGACACGTCTGTGGTGATGCTCTGAAGTCTACATGTTTGTTATTGAGTGAGTTTTCTAGCTGAATGTGGATATAAATATATCGAAGTATCTGTTTCCTTTCCTCTTAACTAGGGCAGGCACTGTAGAAATGGTAGTTCATCGAAGTTTGATTCTGACTGCTTCCGATGTAACCTGGATGCTGGGAGATAGATCACTTTCTCGAAGAATTAACTGTGTAGATGTCGTTATAGCATGATGGAAGAAATTTACACCAAAGTGTTGTATCTCAGTCATATTTTAGACGTGAGTATGTTTAAAAAGATATTATCTTGAAATGTATTCATGAAAGATTCCACGATTATTGAGAAAACTGGTTGCGTATCTCCACCACATTTGTCTTTCCGATGTTCATCAGAAGTTTTTTCTTCTCTGTCACTTCTTCTCCTTCTGACAACTTCTTGGATTTCTCCTGTAGATTTTTGAGTTTGTACAACATTAGGTATAAATCATCGATGAAATCATCAAAACTTCTAGATGGTCTCTTTTGTCAGTACAGAGTATGAAAGTCTTCTCATCCCTCTCCACGAACAGTCTTCCGCATAACTAGAAGGATCATTAGTGGCTGTTTAGACTGTAAGAGTTGATGTTCGTTCACGTGGTATTTTCTGCTCTTATCTACTTGCAATCGTTGTTCACAAATTCATGTCATGATAGTTCGTACAAGAGTGTCTCCTTTTTCTGCACTAAGAGTGTCTTCAGAAGTCGCCGTCTGTATTCATCAGTCAATGCTATTTTCGTAAAAGTATTAGTAGTCAGGATTAAACGTATATGCATTTTCAATGCTGAAATTGGTCGTTATGCATTTCATCATACATGTCATTTGGTGGTGAAATGCTCACTAACCTCGGAAGTGGTCGGAGTTCGACTCCCGATCGATACTGTACTCGTAAACCTCTTCTGGTTTACTAGCCCTGGAAAGAGATGAGAGTGGTGTAAGCCTGGCGCTAGTACTCTGTAAAGAGCAAACCTGCTGCATCTAAGACGTTAAAAGAATAAAGACGTATATTCCACTCAGAGTGAGAGGTGTGCCATTTGACGCGCATCTACTCAGAATCAGGTATCTGGTAATTGATTGATTCAAACTATTCCACTCCCTTCAGCGAAGACCTTCTTGAACATCTGCTCATCGTTCTTACATCAAAAAGGAATATGTTTTCCGCTGACCATTATTATATCTGCTTATTTACATTCTTCTCTGCCATATTTGTTGATGAAACGTCTTGTGGGTAGCGATTCTCTTTCAGGCGTTTCTCACACAACATAACTTCACTGTTCACATTTTATTTTCCTCTACAGAACAACGTCTTAACCAGCGTTCGTTTATAGCTGACTGGGTAAAAGATGTTGAAATTCATACAGAGACCAGTCCATGGTTCCTTGTGAGAAATCGATTATCCATGCATTGGTCTCTCCAAGTTGATATCTGAGGAGTTGAATCTATCACCATCTCCGTCTTTCCATTGTGGCAGTGATGCTTACATGAACATTGTTAAAAGATAATGCAGTCAAATACGAAGCATGGCTCAGATTATTGCTTACAATCAATGTGTTGTCTACATACTCAAGGTAGGCTGTTGCTTCATCAACTGAACACACACACACACACACTTAAGCTGTGTCTGTTCAACGGTAGCCATAAAAATATCTGCTGATACCAGACCGTTCGCCACTCTATCCATTCGGCACTACATTTTGTTGCCGAACTGGAACTGTATATTAAGATATGATAAGATAAGCTTTATTCCAAATCAGTACTTGTGATACAGAATGGAATTCTCAGCATTTTACTACAATATTGCATCCAGTTAATACATTAA